GAATGATGAGGGCAATGAATGTACAAATGCGCTTTACACAATTGATGTATGTATGGATTGTGATAAGAGTTGTATGAGCCCCTAATAAAATGATTTTTTTTTTTAAATGAAAAACTAAAAATTAAAAAAAACTACAGTGGAATAAGTTTTATACATTTAGGGGGGAAAAATTCAAAATCCTACATCTTTGACAACAATTTTGGCGCTTTGAGCTACAGCTCTAAGACTTTTGCTCCGCACACATCCCACTACGGGAGCTTGACATCCTGGTAGTGGTGAGGCCATTGTCAGTTGGCTGTCCGTTCCCAGTCCTGCCACACTGGGAATGAGGTTTGTGGTGGCATGATCCTGTCAGGTAACATGCAGGTGCACATTGTTACCTGACAGGAGCATAAAAGCAGCTGATTGCTATGTAAAATCCAAGCCTAGTCTGATGACCTGTTAATAGTTGATTACTAGCTATCTGATGAGCTACTTTTTCTAACTTTTCTTGGTGCTGAGTAATCTATTCCTAAATGGGGCGCAGATGGTGCTCTAGTGAAGCTATAGAGGAAAAGAAAGGGCTGCTGTCTCCCTTTAATTATTAATGTAAGTGGCTCCAGTAATCCAGTCTACCTGCCCGCTCAAGGGCTAGATTATAACCTGAGGAGAGCAGGCATGCTGGCTGCACTTTTTAAATCCAAGAATTGGGCACTTTTCAGCATCATAGTTAATTTAAGATCTAAGTTCAGCTGTTGGATCCAGCTGTTTAGTGAACATCCAGCCGGGCCAATGTCTGGACAGACCAGAAATTTCCTGTCTATTGTCTAGTTTTCATACAAACTAAAAAATCTCACTGCTATCGAGACATTTCTAACTCACAGTGAGCCTACAGGACAGAGCAGGCCTGCCCCTGTGGGCTTCCAAGATTGTCAATCTTCACGGGAGTATAAAGTCTCTTTTTCCGGACAAGTGGCGAGTGGGTTCGAACTACTGGCCTGATTGTTAGTAGCTCAATTCATAACTCACTGTGCCATCAGGGCTCAATTTGTTTGATATTGGCCAGGGTAAAAACCTTTTAAAGAGACGTTTTCAGTTAAAACGGTTGCAATATTGGGAAAACCCATAATGGTTTCCAAAACGACATCTGCTTTTGACCGGCTTGGCAGACACTAGCAAAGTTGCATCCAGTCTAAGTCATTCTGAAGATGGATCACTGCCCGATATCCAGATTGAAGAATCACAGCGACCATAAAAACACTACCAACTTCCCATCTACGGCAGTTTACACATCGGTTAAGAAGTCATACAAACATATTTTATCCACTAAGATATTTTTATTTCTTTCTTAATTTTTTAACTAAAATACTTTTAATGGTCATTTACTATTTGTGAGGAAAAATTTAAAATCCCCAATGAATTAGCCAGTATCAGTATCAAGCGTTCATGAATCAGGCCCATTGTGTTTTGTCTTGTGGTGCCATAGTAACTCATCAGCAAATGTCGATGGCATTTCTCTTATTTCCTCCCTTTAGCTAAAACATATACTAAACACCCACTCCCCAAGCGCACATTCTGAGATATGCTAGTGCAATCTTGTATTTCGTGGAGTCCCAGAGACCAAGGTCTAGATAGGCCCTGGGCCGTGCCATGACGGGAGCCTGTTGTGCAACTGGGACAGTCTCCAGGGCTCCGGAGTGGCTCTGAAGAGGAAATAACTGATCAATTCAAGATGGAAAAAATAATGTTTGGAAATCAGATTTATAGTCAGAGAATGCTTTATTTTATAAGGTTAAAAAAAAGGGGGGGTAACCACATGAGTTTGTATAAAAGTATAAACTTCTAGACAATAAGAAAAAAAAATTCTTATTAGGTAGTATACACACACATTTCAGAAACAATGACAATTATGGAAAGAGTTACATTTGTCCCTGGACATAATATTCATAATTTGCTTTCAAAACAAACTCAAAGTAGGGATTGGCCTTTAAGTTCCCTAGTTCTTCTGCTTGTAGTAGGTCTTTCACCTCTGGTAAATATTCACTAAGTTGAATGCCTAGAAAAACAAGGAAGGTATCTTTTATTTTCATAAAACTCTCAAATGGACCAACATGATTGATGACAAAAACACCTGTGTTTCTATTTAAACTATACCACTCTGTGATTGGGAAATACTTGGTTCTAAATTCTTTCCATCTATCAAACAGACTTGCAAGTCTAACGATATATCATTCCCCATTTAGAAGAAGCTACTTGAGTTTGTTCACACGCCCCACCCCCAACCCCACCCTGTGGTTAAAATAGTCAGTCTACTTAAAGTCTTTAATAAGATCTGAAATATTTTCATTCCCCTCCTGCAGCTCAAGATACTGCTTCAATGTGGAAGTTATTTAACTAAAAATCATTTTAAAAATAAAAATGTCAAGCAATTATATATTTACTTGGGAAACTTTTTCATGGAAACATTATCATATATTATTAACACATTATCACATGTCAAATTTTATGAGTTTTAAATCTAAACTTAGATAGGTGAAAAAAGCACTTTATCACAGAGCAAGAATAATGACTATTTGAATTGTGTAAGTTGAGATCAACGTAAATAAAAAAACAAACAAAAAAGAATTTGCAACTTCAAGAAAACTGACAATAATATTTTGATTTATTATAATATTACAATGAGGTTCTCAAAATCAATTTTGTTTTTAGTACTCTCAAAGTACTCCAATAGAGTAAAAGTCTGGTTAATAATATTTTAAGGCTATATCATTTATTAATATTAAACATATTTTCAGTAAATACTTTTTCTTAATAAAATCAAAATAAATACTTAAAATTTTTTGACATTTGACTTTTATTGTGAAAATACATTCCTTCTATTTAGCCCAAGTAGCTATTGAATCATTTCTTTAAAAGAAGATATAAAGACCACAGCTATCTACAAAGGTCTGGCAGGTAACAGTAGACAGGAGTGGAGTGGTCTTACAGGGGATCTTGGTAAACTTAGGAGCAAAAACCCTTCACATTTAAATTGATTTCAGAATTGCCCTTGGCTTGTTATAGTATGTAAATAAATAATCTTTTCTGTATTTTTATTTACATAAAACATAAACAAAAACTACTTGTTTTTATCCTATAGCCAAAATGGGATGTTTTCTGTAACTTATAACTTCCCATTCTTGTCTATGATGTACTCAAAATACGCAAAAATGAATAAGCACTAGCTCTTGGGAGACTCTTCAGTTGTGGTAAATTTACACATGGAAAGCAGAAGAGGTGGTGTGCCAAGTATTTTCTACTCACTTTTAGGCTCAACTGGAGAAACTCTGTAACAAGTACAGAAAGACCACTTATATCCAGATAAACTTCAATTCCAAATATTGAAACAAGAAAGTCATATGGAGACGAGTCCTTTCTAAATTTCAAGTATTTTCAAGCAAAAGATGTTTTTGCTGTATGCTTTCATTTATGTTTGAAAATGTTTACTTTCGACTATAAAAAGGTTTAACCATTTTTGAAAATGAAAGCCCTAATTAAACTTGGTTTTTGGTCAGTGTAGGGTAATCAAGTATATCTCTTTTTTCTAAGTAAAAGTCCACGTATATTCCAAGTAATTTAGTTACAAAATTGTATGTAGAGTTGTTTTTATTTTTTATCATTTTATTGTGAGCTTACGGATATCCTACATTCCATACTTCAAACACATCAAGCAGTATTGTACAAATGTTACCACAGTCAGTTTCAAAAACATTTTCTTTCTTCTTGAACTCCCTCATATCAGCTCCCCTGTATCCCCTCCCTCGAATTGTACGTATATTTGATCAACCCTAAATTGAAGCCAGAAATCTGGGAAATTACCCTCAGGAGATTAATACAGAAAGCTTCTGGAATGCAAACACTGAGAATTTTATTCTCTTTATCTTAAAATACTGGTTGGCATAGTCAATTCCTTAAAACTTCTCTAAGCGTCCCTTCATGCCATTTGGTTCAGGTAGCGGAATTTATTACAAAGGGATTGGAATTTTGAATTTATAAAATAATTCTATGTATTCAAAGAACAAATATTTATTGAGAGCAACTTCTATGTGCCAGGGACTGGGTTGGGCATGCTCTATATGGATTAAATAAGGTGTTGCACATATATACACACATATTTAAATATTTGTAAATATCAACATGTTGATATCATATTCATTTAGCCCTAAATCCATCATTTAGGGCTGATGGATTTAAAAAGCGTTTTGTTACTATATATTTTTTGATTTGATATTAAAAAAGAAGATCTTAATCATTTTATCAGTGGACAAGTCTATTCTATTTTGCACAGTGCCTGGATTCCAGCATCACATACACTGATCTATTAATAAGCATGAGTTACATTTTTTTTATGTATAAAATCTCTCATTTCTTAGAGCAGCCAGTCCACAGAGAGGACCACATGGCCA